AGAGAGAGAGTAGAGAGAGAGAGAGAGAGAGAGAGAGAGAGAGAGAGAGACAGGGGGAATACATGTTTTTATTAGTCTTGAGTATGTGCTTTACATATAATATTATCTATCATTGATATTTTACAACATGAAAATTGCATGACTCTATTCTTTATGTAATCGGCGTTTCGTTCGAACCTTTAACATTTCTCATCTCGAATGTACAACCGAGTTCCTGTCATCGCGATTGCGTGACTTCAGGTGCGACACGTGTGGTACGACGGTCTATTATGCGAGGTGATGGCGTCAGATACGTGGCGGAAATATACTAACAACCCAGGCTTTGAGAATCTGGCCAGGGTGGCGAGTCTCTGTAATCGCGCTAACTGGGCACCAATGTCCGAAGATAAGCCTGTGCCGCCATTAAATAAAAGAAAAATTTTAGGAGATGCCTCGGACGCAGCTCTATTGAGATGCGTGGAAGTTCTCGTAAAGGGAGGAGCTGATTTCTTCAGAAAAGACTACATCAAGGTAAACGAATCAGACTGAAATCTTTGATTGAAGAATTGAAGAAAATTTAATCTAATCTAAATTTAAAGCAAGCCAGTGGAAAATTTAATATACCGAAAGTATAAGAATTAGCTTTAAATTTCTTATCTTTTATTTAATATACTAATAATAAGTCTAATTTTTAATCTCATTTAACGGATTCTATTTAATTACGTGTTTAAACTTATTTTAATATAAACTTAATTCAAATTTAATTTAAATTTTAAAAATGAAATGAAATGAAATGAAAATTTTAAAAATAATGAATCCAACATGCATAATTAAAATAAAAATAAAGATATTGTTATTAATATCTCAAATAAATTTAATAAATCTTTAGATATTGGAGATCCCTTTTAATTCAACGGACAAGTTCCAAGCAAATGTATATCTATTTCGCGGCAAGTATTTCATATGCTTCAAGGGTGCTCCTGAACGTGTCCTCGAACGTTGTTCAACAGTAGCATTCGGTAACGAGACCAAAGCTTTGGATGAAGAGACGAGGAGAGCATACATGGAATCCTGTTATATTCTGGCAAATAATGGAGAACGCGTTCTTGGCTTTGCCGATCTTGAACTCTCAACTAAGACTTTCCCTATGGGTTATCATTTCGAAGCTGATCCTCCAAATTTCCCTCTTGAAAATTTGAGATTGGTATATCTTAATTTGATTTTTTTCTTTGTAAAGCTATTCTTTAAATTTTTATTATTCATGAATTTTAAGTTTAATTTTTAAACTTTAATTCAACTACATACATTTTTATGTTTTTGACTAATTTAATTAATACATTTTTAATTACTCTTTATTTTGAACTACAATTTATTAATTATAGTTGTATTATTATAAATATTTTTTTATAAACTTTATGTAATTTTCTAAATTGTGAATCTAATAACGCAACATTTATATATGTATAATGTTAACGATGGCTTTCTAATAAATCTAAACTGTCAAATGTTGTACTTTGATTTTCCATTAACAGGTCGGCCTAATCGCCATGATGGATCCACCGCGACCAACTGTTCCCGACGCCGTATATAAATGTCGTTGTGCCGGCATTAAAGTCATCATGGTGACCGGGGATCATCCTGACACTGCCAAGGCTATTGCCAAATACGTCGGAATCATCACCGATCACAATGGTTATGATAGTTCCAACAATAATGCCACGGAACATCACATCGTAGTGACGGGTGCACAGCTGCGAGACCTGTTACCGGAGCAACTGGATCAGTTAATCAAGCAGTATCAGGAGATCGTGTTTGCCAGGACGTCGCCGGTCCAAAAGCTGCAGATAGTCGAGAGTTGTCAAAGATTGCATCTGATCACCGCGGTTACCGGCGACGGTGTCAACGATTCTCCAGCTTTGAAGAAAGCCGATATTGGCATCGCTATGGGCATCACAGGTGGTGATGCTTCTCTAAAGTATTTTTATAGAGAAAAGTTCTCTAAAGAGATAAACCCAAATATCTCTAGTGTTTCTAATTGTAAAATAGAAATATTGTAAAGAAAGAAGTTGACATTTTCATGTATGCTTAAAGTTTTTAATTCAAATAAATGGTCACTGTTACTATGATCTAGCCTCTAATTGTGATTGCCAGGATCTGATGTGAGCAAGCAAGTGGCGGATTTAATATTGTTGGACGACAACTTCGCGTCAATAGTGACGGGCATTGAGGAGGGTCGACGGGTTTTTGACAATCTCAAATCCAGCATCGCGTATATCATGGCGAGCAATATACCGGAAATAACGCCCTTCCTAGCATTCATTGTTTTAGGGATTCCTTTGCCACTTGGTATAATTTGCATCTTATGCATCGATCTGGGAACGGATATGTGGCCGGCAGTCTCTTTAGCTTATGAAAAGTCCGAATCCGATATTATGCTGAGGTATTAAAAATATACAGAACATTCCTCTCATATCAAATCATAAAAATCATATTATAAAAACAATTTGTTCCGTAAAAAATTAGTGATTTTTAAATTATAAAGGTTTAAAAATTTTTAATTTTGTGAGAGGATGAATATTTCAACAAAATTCACTTTATTCCCTTCGAATTAAATTTTTTAAATTAAATTAAATTAGTTGAAATTTAAAAAGCTATGAAAATATTTAAATGTTTCATTTTCTTCCATTGTCTTTAATATCTTAGGAAGCCCAGAATACCCCAGAGTGATCATTTGGTCAGTCGACGATTGATTTTCATGGCTTATGGTCAGATTGGCATAATTGAGGCATGTGCGGGTTTCTTTGCGTATTTCATAGTGATGGCAGAGTATGGTTTTCTGCCTAAGCGATTATTGGGTTTAAGACCGCAGTGGGATAGCCCAGCAATAAACGATTTAGAAGACAGTTTCGGACAGGAATGGACTTATGAACAGCGCAAGATTCTCGAGTACACTTGTCACACTGCTTTCTTCATCAGTATCGTAATTGTACAATTGGTGGATGCAATGGTCTGTAAAACCCGTCGCAACTCGCTATTGCATCAGGGTATGGGCAACTGGATCTTGAATTTGGGTCTACTTCTTGAGATCGCCCTGGCTTGTGTAATTGGCTATGCGCCCTATATGGACCGCATTTTGAAGACATATCCTTTGAAACCGGAATGGTGGTTACTCGGGATGCCATACGCCATTATGATATTAATTTACGAGGAATTAAGGAAATGGTGGATTAGAAGAAATCCAGACGGTTGGTGGGATAGAGAAACTTCATTTTAGGTGAGATCAATAACAAATAGTTTTAAAGAAAGAAATTAGAAAATGCACAATTAATTTAATTTTTTACATGGAAAACTTGAAATATTAGAGATTAGACATAATTAATTAAATAAGGATGGATAAAGTTATTTTTAAGTTTCAGTTCATAAAAATTTTCATCATATATCTAAATTTAATAATTTAACAATTATTAAGAAAGAAACATGTTCAGAAACATTCATACAATAAAACGTATTAAAATGCAAAGAAAAAAACTTACTTTCGTAAATAACGACCTTTTACGACTTACAATCCAATCGTGACTTCTTGAAATCACGCTGCGAACAACTCACCTTTCAAAATAAATTACTTCAAATAAACAATATAATTGACTAGATGTATTATTAAATTAATTTAAATAAATGTCAAAAATATTTAAATATTTTTGCATCATTTAGAAGTAATTACAGAATTAATTTTTTAACTATTTCTAAATATTTCAAAAAATATTTGAATATTTTTTTATGTTTAGTATTTAAATTGATTTAATATGTGCTTTTATAATATTATTTTATAAATTCTTATTACTATTAATACTTAAATTATCAAAATAAACTCAACAAAAGCGTGAATTGATGAACTTGATACATATTGATTTTACTTGATTATTTAAAATTATATTTTAAAAAGATATAAGGAAATTATTTCTTCTTCTTAAATAAAATTTAATATCAAACAATTATTAAGGCTGCTATTATTATTAATAAAAAAATATTATTATTTGCTCTAAAATTTTTATGTAGAAGATAACGATATTTAAAGACAAAAACTGGAAACATTAAGGGAACGAACTGGAATTTCACGTTGTTTTTTTGGTGTGTGAAAGACTTTAGTATGCTAAAAATATCTTACAAATAAATAAAGTTATCAGAAAATCCTGATTTTCACAAAACTGTGCATGCACTTTTGATGCATTCTCGATTTATTTTCCTACTTTAAAATTTACTTTAATTTCAAACTTTGTCATAATTTAATTTAGATTTAATGTAATTTTAAATAAAATTTTTAATATGCACAAAAAATTTTATATAAAACATAAAACAATTATAAAGAATATTATTATACACAAATAATGACAGAATATTTTATTTTAATTATTCAAGTAATAAATGTATTCTCATGAATTAATACATCAAAATCAGTAAATGTATGTATGTATGTTAATAATATTATTTATATATTATGTCAATTAAAAGTCTTCTTTTCTGATAATTTTAACATAAATAGTATATGTAATACCAATGTATGCAGTTTGGTATACAATTTAGAATTGATGCGTCAGAAACTTATCGTAGTAATGCATGTCTCTGTACATACCTTATGTGAACAAGTAGAAGATTGTCGGTTTTCCCCCCATAGATTTTGTATGATCATCAAGTGTTGTAACTTCGGATGAAGTGGGGGCCGCATATAAGACCCCGACGTTCGAAGGGGCCCAGTAGTCTCTAGTCATCAATACTACTCAATACTACTGTGTTACCACGACCGGATCAACATACGTAGTGACGTCACTCTTCTTCTTCCTTTTTTCATCGGCGCCAACCTTCATCGTCAGAATGAAGACGAAGGCCCTTGTTTTTTAATTTGCCTCGGTGAGTTTTTATCACGATTACGAATTAAGACAAAATTGGACAATTCTAATATAAGAGCTAAACTAAAACTGCAATTTCCAATAACTCTTTGGAAACTTTTTCTTTAAATAATAACATATAAATATTATGAAAGAATTGGTATAGATTTATAATATACCGTTTCATCTTTTCTTAATTGTCAATTTTAATTGGCTAAAAGAATTTGCTGTAATGAAAAAAATAGAAATTTTTGTAATAGAAATGTTTGCCATATGTGAGATGTAAATGTTGATAAAACTTTATCATGTTCATATGTTTATAAGTTTACTTATGTTAATGATAAATTTCAAGATAAGTAAAATAACTCAAAAAATATAATTAATTTTAAATTTACTTAAAAAATATATTATTATGAGATAAAAAGATATTTATGTTCTATGTTATATTTACATTTTTATTTTATTCTTCATTTTTTATTTCTTATTATTTATAATAAATAGGTCCAAGCTATAATAAAAATTGATATATGTAAAACTTAAAATTTTTTAATCAAATATAAAAAGACAATAATTAGGAGAATAAGTTTTCTTATGAGTCAACATGACTGTCTAAGAGCGTCTCTCTCTCTCTCTCTCTCTCTCTCTCTGTGTCATCTGGTTAAACTATTTAAATCAGAGTCAAAGTCTACTAGTACGCTCGAAAGTTACCAGGCCGAGTCGATTAAACGACATTTAAGTTCTGAACGACCGACCAACCGAGTATACGTATGGGCGCCCGACCACTTTCTCACTTTCTTCGCTTGCGTTCGCGAGGTCGACCGGCATTTCTTCAGGGACGCAGACGACGTACCGCCTTGAAAACATGTCGAGGGACCAGTTGACCCTCTACCTTAACATGCTTACTCTTATCTTCCGTCATTTTCTTTCTTTTGCTTTTTGTTTTCTGCTTTGCTGAATAACTCATGCAAAACAATTCAGACAGATTCGAAAGTTTTGATGCATAAAAAGACACATAAAGAGATGTTTTAAATGAAATAGAAATTATATGCAATTCTTTAATGATAGTTGATAATTTTCTTCCCTAAAAATTGTTTAGTTAAATTAAAAACAAATATAAAATGGAGTATTTCTTATTCATATTCTATTAATAGAATAACATCAAGAAATTACTTGATTAAAGAATTTAGTTATAATTCTATTTGTTTTTATTATAAAAATTTGTCATTTGTCATATATCATATTATATTTCATGAAACATAAAATTTTGTCTGTCATAGGATCTGTCACTGCTCTGACAAGGAAGCAAGAGGCCGCCGAGCAGAGTCGCCGAAGAGCGGCTTTGGCAACAACATCGAAAAAACAGGAGCCAACTGCAAACGAGGAGTATGAAGATGATGACGAATTTCAGGATCAATGTCCAGAGCCCAATGGATATTTTCCGGATGCGGAACAATGCGATAAATATTACGACTGTCGAGATGGCAAGATAACGGAAAAATTGTGTCCGGACGGTCTCGTTTTCAATGATTTCAGTCCACAGCACGAGAAGTGCGATTTACCATTCGGCATCGATTGCACAAAAAGACCCAAATTACGTAAGCAATCTATTCTATTATTAACATGTTGTTCAATTTTTCCACGTTTCACGAAACAAAATCAATTAAATGCAAGAGAGATGCACGAGAATATTATTTCAAAAATTTTAATATTATGTGTGCGTTGTTTTGGTAATACACAGTATTCTCAACAATTTATTTTTTTTTAATGTTACATTTATGATTATTGTTTTTAATTTGATAAAGTAAACAATCGCACACAAGCTTCAGCATTTAGCTTTTATGCTCCTGACTTTTCACTTTGAATTATTTTATTTAATAATTTGTTTCTGTCATAATAAAATTTTTTATGCAAAAATAATGCAACTTTTAATTAATTTCATATATGTAATATTTGCTGCTTTATTATTATATATTAATTTCTTTCGCAGAAAAGCCGCAACCATCGCCACACTGTCCGCGCATGCACGGCTACTTTGCCCACGAGGATCCCAGGAACTGCAATACTTTTTATTACTGCGTGGAGGGCAAGTATAACATGATCACCTGCCCGGATGGTTTGGTCTTCTCCGAAAAGACCGGCATCTGCAACTGGCCAGACGAGGCACAGAAGAAGGGTTGCGGTTCCCGCGAACTCTTCAATTTCACGTGCCCGAAGGTCGATGAATCAGTGGCCGCGACACATCCACGTTATCCTGATACCGAGGATTGTCAGTATTTTTACGTGTGCGTCAATGGTGAGGTACCAAGGCGAAGTGGATGCAAACTCGGCCAAGCGTTTGACGAACGCTCGGGAAAGTGCGACTGGGCCAGAAAAATACCCGAATGGTACGAATTATACAATAAGATTTAATTTTTCTATAAGAAAACATCGATAATGTTTAAGCTAAAAATGAAAAATTAGTCGAAATTATGTAAACAACTATCACTACTCAATATGATAAAAAATATTTCTTTCTTTTTTGTTTTATAAAAATAATAGATTTTTGTTCACAAATTATTTTTTATAATAACAAGCTTATAAAGTTTACATAAATAACTCAAATATATAGATTTAAATAACGTTTCAATGAAAAAGTAAATTAAATCAAAGTAAAAAGAAAGAAAGTACATCAGCATGTCATTTTTTAAGTTTTACATTCCTTAAATCCAAGAATTAAAGGAACTCAATCTACAGATCCTTTATGAAGTTTTATGTAGTCCTCGTTTCATTTATCATTTCACGTATGATTAAAATAAATAATTTAATTACAGCAAAGATTGGTACAAGGATCAGCTGACCGACGAAGAATTGGACGCATTGGAGAATCCACCGCCTAAGCCCAAGCCCACCGGTGGACCAAGCAGAAGAAAAGGCAGCAGACCAACAATATAGAATAAACGCTTTAGATTAAGTGTGTAGGTTTCTAAGCTTCTTTATTTTTTTAAACTTTATGTATAATAAACTTATATTTACTACAATCACACCTTTTGAAATATATTCCATTCGAAACCTTATTTTTGAAATAATTTGTTATCTAGAAGAAAAATCACAATCTTAGCTTTAATTACAATTTAGAAGAAATAAGCTGCGAAGAAAATTATTCAAAGTCTTCACTCGTTAAAATTCTGACGACAAAGTATTTTTACATCTTCATTTATTCGTTGCTATTTAATTTATTTTTATATTGTTGTATCATATTGTTTTATTGCTACTTAATTATTATATTTTTATGTCGCGATATCTACTTTTATGTTTTTGTCTTTTTAATTTGACAAATATAATTCTATTTTCGTTTTTCGGAAACTGTTATCATATGTTCCTCATATATAATAAATTCGAATCGCATCTTAAATTTGCATGAGTAATGAAAATATGTTATCGATCGGCATTTTTTACATTTCATGCATGGGAAACATTTCTGAAATCGAGCTCTAGCATAATGCTTTCGTAAGCATAAAGATCGTGAGATGAAGATTATTTTACGTAAATCAAACAAGAGTGAATATTGTTAGATATTCAACATCGATGTTGAAATGCTATATCGTTAATTAGCGATTCAGAGACGAGCAATAGATAGAATTAACATATCAGTACTTAATTATTAGCATTAATAAATCAAAATTTATCTTTTATTAACAAATGATAGATTAAGATAAAATTGATCTGCGCGTGGACCTTAAGATCAATAAACTACGTATCGAATTGTTACAATTTTCACTTTCCCGTGGAAAAAAAAGCCTCGGAAGACATTGTCGAAACAAGAGTGAGAGCGAAACGACAGTATCGTCGTGCATGACGAAAAAAACTTGTAATTGACTCAACAACATTGTAGCTGCAATGAAATATCGCGTGACTGTGGTATACGTTACATCTAAAGATCATTAATCCTTATCTAAATAATTAAAATAAACATATGTAATATTTCTAATTAGTATGATCGATATCAACTTGATAAGAAACTTACGTTTCTTTTAGAACATTACATTTTTTTTTAACATTACAATAGTTTTAATTTTATTATTTATTATATGATTTAATGCTAATAAGGAAAAGTTGATGCTAATTAGAAGATTATAAACAAGTGAACAAGCAATTAATTTAATCCATATGTTTTTTAATGTCTTAGTATATCTCATAATACTTTTTTACTTTTACTTTTTATTTTTATATAAAATATTTAATAAAATATATAGGAAAACAGTCGCACATATAAATACACACATTTAAGATTTGTTTCTTTATTTTTTAAAAATAATAAAATTTAAAGTTTGATATATTTTAGTTAATAATTAATGATATAAAAATTTATATTTCAAATTTGTTATTTAATATTTTAATATTATATTAAAGAATTCTTCATCAACGAATATTATAACGGATACTATAACGGAGTAACATTGTCGCAGAAATCGAATTTTTCAGAACAATTGAAGCGAAAACGAAGGTGAATGTTAAACGACAGTTCAGAGAAGAAAGCTCAACAAAAAGCTACCATTTCCTGACAGCCAGCGATGCGTAATTTACTATCCTTCATTTCAATCATTTAGAAATGTAGACAAACGAAACATTAATGCTTTCTTAAATTTGCTTTGAAAATGTTCAGTTTCTTCATCTTATTCGATTTTTCTAAACGTTGCTCAACTTTCGAATAATAAAAAAAATAATTAAAAAGTTGCAGAACTTATTTTTTCCCTTATATGCTTATTACGTCAAATACATATCTATTGAATATAATCTATTTTTTTTATTTTATATCCTCCTTCTCCTAATTATATAATTTAGAAATTTATTTCCTGCGTACTTCTATTTACACAAGATGTATTTTTCATCAAAATATAATAAATTTTATATCCACTGCCTCTGTTTTTGACTTAATAAGTTTCGTTTTTCTTATGAATAAAAAAATTAATGAGATCGTCTCAGATGAGCAAATTACTGGCGTAATGAAAATATCGGCGAAATTGTCGGGCATTTGCCCGTCATCATCGGCGCGTTGCAATTTGCATTTTTCTCAGCAAAGAAAAACGCGACGAAGGACGTCGAAGTGAGAGCGCTGAGAGGAGGATAAAAGTCATCTCTCTTTCTCCCTCTGTCTTTTTCTCTTTTTCTAACTTGTCTCCTCGATCTTCATTCTCAACGAGTGTTCCATCGATGAAAAGTAACGGCGAAAGTGGGATCTACGTGCGGCAATAGTGGGGATTCATGGGGTATACCCAGCTGGCAAGTAGCCGAAGAGTTGCAGTTTCGCGAGGGCGACCTCGGGCCATTCCAAAGAGGGACGAAAAATTAAATAGCCCAATTTAGCCCGTTTGCCCGTTTCAGTGAACCTAAGTGCAATCTAGGATCATCGCGCGACGATCCGGCAAGAAAGCGAGTCGAAAGCGAACCGAAAGAATGTTCACGTTCGGGATCCTGCTACTAGGCGCAATCGCGCTGACACGTGAGTATTGATCGTATGATTATCGAAGAGAAATGATCGCAAATAAAAAGAGACATCTTAAAGTATTACAAAAAGATTAAAAATTGCTCTTTTGTAACATATAAGAATTAATTACTGCTATTCTAATTTAATGGTTAAATATATGCATCGGTATCATTGTAAATTATCACTAAAACCTTGTTCATCAATTTATGAAAATTTGAGTGTAATTAAAAAGAGAATTGGTAAAAGCATAAGAATTGGTGAAAACATCAAATAGATTTTATTAATAATTGTATAAAAGAGAATATTGAGTATTCTTTATTTTATCTTTACATGTGCACATTTTTTACATTAATTTTACTAATTTTTATGATAAAAAAGAAATAAAAATATTTCATACTAAAATACATAAACCTTCTGTATCGCTAATGAAATTAATAACAACCAAAAATTTAAATGTTTTTTGATACGATAAAAATATTTAATGTTACATTAACAAAAGTGTAATGTATATATAAATATATTATAAATTCTATAATTTTTGTATATTTTTATAAAGAAGACTTTCTTATTTTTATATTAACTTATTTTCTTATTTTCATAATTTATCCGCATGTTAAATGCTTTATTAAATTATTCGACCTTAAAGAATGTTAATGTTAATAAATTATTTATCATAGCTATCAATAAAATTATGAGAGTAATTACTCGCTACTAATATCTGTCCTGTATATTTTTATCAAAGGAAATTAATAAATTAATATTAGTAAATATAATATTAGTAAATTATTCATTGGCCGACAGAATTGCAACAAAGATAAAAGAGAAAAGTGCGAAAGAGAGTAGCTCTCGAGCCTGATGGAAGTGACCGTTAGAATTAACGCGGAGACAGTGCGAGAGCGAACTTTCTAAAGCGTAAATGTCAGTTTTCTCGTTCGGCGAGTTGCATAAGCGCGAGTCGAGCGAGGCCAAGACGAAATTACGTAACGAACAACGAAATAATGCCGATCCGAGAATTCGACGGCAGGGTTCGTCGGACGGGTTCGATCCTACCGGAAACGTCGGATCGATTTCCGCCGTTGCGGTAAGACCGCAGTAGTATTATCGTCGGCAACGATTACAGACGCCGCGTTCAATTGCCCGAACAAGGACGGCCAATACGAGGACAGCAAGCAATGCGACAAGTATTACGAATGCATCGACGGCGTGGCGGCGGAGAAGCTGTGCCCGGATGGTCTCGTGTTCGATCCCTTGAATCGCAAGGTCAACAAGTGCGACCACGTCTTCAACGTCGACTGCGGCGACCGTCTCGAATTACGTAAGAGAACAGAACCGCAACGACATTTCGCGGAGAGACGTTCTGAAAAATAAATCTATCCATCTCGCTGACACCAAGTAGAATTTCAATTAGTTTCTTCTTACATAATACGTAATAAAATATGATATTTCCGTTGATGATTATTATTAATTGAATTTTACTTTAGCTTGAACACTTGAAAATTATATAAAGAGTAATATCTGCTCATTTTCATCTATGTATTTGAGAAACTATATTTCATAAATTTTATGCACCTTCAATTTAGATATAATATTCTTCCATATTAAAATACCAATTATCATATTAATTAACTGTACGATTGATTGATCGATTAATTGTTCTCATTAACAGAACCCCCGCAGCCAACGAAGAAATGTCCGCGAAGAAATGGTTTCTTCGCGCATCCCGACCCGACAGTGTGTAACGTTTTCTATAACTGCATCGATGGAGAGGCAATCGAGATCACGTGCACCACCGGGTTGCACTTTGACGAATACAGCGGAACTTGCGTGTGGCCGGATAGTGCAGGTCGCGAGGTGAGAAAGCCTAAGAAAGAATTGTTTCACCTCGCCCACCGATTACGACACGCGCAAAACTTAATCGACCTTAAAAAAAACTTTAAAATTGATACGTAACGCGTGTGTAATTTCAGGGTTGCCTCGACGAAGAGGCATCCGTTTCGGAATTGTAACAAAAGCTGTAACTGAACTTCCCCGAAGTTAAATCTTTAATTGAGAGAAAGTACGTCGCGCTTCTAACATACCCCGCGTATACTTTCTCTTAATTACAATTACAGATTTTCATGCAGGTATTCGCCTCTGAGATATTTCTTTGCGATTAACGGAAATTTAACAGTGTAATTCTGACGTTAACATTTGAACTCGGGAATATCTAAGAAACAGCATTGGGGAGATAATGAAACCTCTAATTATTTTCCTCGTTGATAAAACTTTGATGCCACACTTAATTAAATAAAATTCCTGAGATCACGTCAAATAAAACTGGAGATTAAAATTTAAATTAGAAATTAAAATGTAAAAAATGTAAAATTTGTAAAAAAAATGAAAAAAGAAGCGATTTCGAATTTGCCTTAAATATTAAACCTACAAGAAATCGCTAAATCGAGTTAAGAAGAAGTTGTTGCTTCCTGTTGCAACAACATGTTAACGCAAAAATATGCTTTGTAATGCAGGGCTGTGGAGTCATGGGCAAGAAGCTGAAGGATGGCTTTGAGTGTCCAACTGAAAGCCAAGTCGACAGCAGGGGCATGCTAATTGACCATCCCAAATTCGCGCACCCTGAAGACTGCCAGAAATTCTATGTGTGCCTGAACGGTGTGACGCCACGCGAGCAAGGTTGCAGCGATGGCACCGTTTACAACGAGGAACAGCAAAGGTGTGATGCACCCGAGAACGTCCCCGGATGGTACGAGCTATTCCCTGTTTATCATATCATTATCTCGTTTCTATGCAATATAGTTGCATTTTTGTATTAACGTAACAATTTTCCAGTTAATACAAAAAAGAATTTTCATTCACGCGATATGAATGCATTTCTTTAAATATCTTCAATTTTTTAAGATTTAATGTTTCGCCGTGTAGATGACGAAATTATTTAAATTATTATTATACCGTAATTTATGAACTCTCTTATATCCTAAGTTAATTAAGTTATCCTGCTACTATTATGTTATATTTAAAAAATAAAAGAGGAATTTAATCATTGTCGTTTACCTTGCAGCGAGGACTGGTACAAGGACGACGTTAAGAAGCCGTAAGGAAGTCGTCTACACTCATCTGTCCCGCATCGGGACGCCGCACGTTCACTTTTAATCACGTGTCACCCCCTTCGCCCAGCGTGTAACTTCATGTGTGTGTTTAGCCATTTGAATGTCTTGGAATACATTTTATTTTTACTTTATTAGCCTTCCACTCAATTGAAACCCGATTTCCTTTCTCCAGTTTCTCAGTGATTAAAACGAAATACGCGACGGATTAGAATTGAGATATATAACGTTTTCCCGGGAGATCAATTTTTTTGTTGTTTAACTAGTATAATTACATATATAATAAAAAATTATGAATTTAATTTAATTTATATAATTACCACCCAGAAACTCGTAATGAACACCATAACTCGTAAATTATGAACATCGATATCTTCTTACAGAAATATTTAAAAGTTTATTGCTAATAATGTTTGTTTAAACTCTTAAATAAAGATGCATATAAATCTTTTAAAGCCGTAATTGCGTTTTTTTAATATTCTTTAAATAAAACTCAGTTACTGTATTAAAGGAGTGAAAAAGAAAAAAACCTATCATGACTATTGCATATTTTAATATCTTCTCTATCTAAGAAGAAATTAATAAGATTTAGTTGGTGATTGATTCTCGAAACGGTATTCGAGGAACGTGCAAAGGCCTTGAGAAGTCATTCATATTACGAGATCGGTTGACTATCACTTTCTCTCAAACTGCTCTCCTGTTTCTCGTTCTGCGATTCACTTTCTCTCTCTATCTTATGATGCATCGATTATACGAGCGAAAGATGCACTCGTTCGCTCTACTTTCTCAAATATTTATCGATAATGAAGTATAAAAGGCTCTTATACTAGAAAAATAAAAGAAAAACAAGGACACAAAAATAAAAAAATTCAAATTTTCTCAAAGTACGAATAAAGAAGTCACGAAAAGACCAAAAATGTTAACGATGTAGTCTCGACAACTTTAAACGCTGCTGGTAAAAAGTAGCATAAGAAAATGGTAAATTTATTCATAACGCATTTGATTAAAAAATTCCATTACTTTTTCTTAGCGAAAGATCAATTTATTTCTCTCGCATGGCAGGTAAGTTGAATTATTATGCACGATATTCTTCCATTTAACTTTCCAATTCACAAGTCTCGGTCGCAAATGTCACTTGCTGAACGCATTTTGAAGATTAAATCCATTCGTTAGATAAATTAAATTCTGCAACTTTGTAACATGAAAGCATTTAGTTATTAAAAAATTATAAGTCTTGGAGTGAATGTAATTAATCAAAGAAAAAACATAAAGAATTTGCTAAT